ATCTGATAAGAAGAGAATGATAGAGGTATATGTACTCGATCAATGATAGCTTGTGAGATAATTGATAAAATAAGAAAGATAAATAAAATGATTGCGATGATGTTAAGATAATTAAACAAATTTAAAATGAAAGGATTGCATATGAAAATAGTGGAAGTGTCTTTTCAAATATATTCAGCTTTTATTAATTTTTCTAGTTAATTGTCAAAATGGTATCAAAGCACAAGTTAAATAGCATGCAAAGTTGTTTGAATTATGATACCACTGCATATATATATTATATTGCATCATGATATAATATTAAAAAATATGCTCTAGTATAAAAAATGATTATTCCAGAGCAAAATGTCATTATATATGAGTTTATCAGATATTACAGTAAACATTATAGTTAAAAATAGCTAATTGTATTCTAATAATTGTAAAAATGTTTTTATAGTTTGAATTATTAAGTGATTCAGCAAATAGAGATATGATTTTCTAAAATAAGATTGTAAAAGAGTATTTATACATATGTGCAGATATATTTTCAAAATATATCTTACAGTGTGCATAAAAAATGATGAGATATTTTATTATCAATATTTTGTTTTAGAAAACTAATAACAAATTTAATCATTTATGTTATTTTTGTGTTATTATCAGTAGAGAGTGAAGATAGCAAACAACCCTTGGGCTGACAGGCGATTAAATACTATAAAATCGAATTTTTGCTCCACTTCTAGTATAGTACAATGGTTAGGAAACATCATAGAAAAACTTGTTTTGAGGTTCATTTGCCGAACGGAAAACTTTTTTTGAAAATCTAAATTATCAGAAAAATATATATGATATTTTATGCTTTTTAAAACAGACAATATATAAAGAGTAATAACCATTTAGTGTTATATAAAATATTTAGCTTTTTAAATTATTAAATTTTAATTCGTTAAATTTTGTTCAATTTTATCATCTCATTTTAACTATGATTTCATAACATGGTGTTTCTTAATCAAATTGCATCTAAATTAATGAGAAAAATTTTGAAATTTGAAAATTCAGTATCTAATTCAAATATCTATCTAATAGCATTTCTACAATCGCAGTAATTATGAGATTTCAGGTTCGGTTGGTTAGTGAAATTAAATTAAATATATAGTATAGAGGCAAATCTGTAATAATGATTAAAAAAAAAAGTATTGGGGCTTCCAGGCACTTCGTGCCCTCTAGCCCCGAAGATGTTTAGTATAAAACCGCTTTTTAACTTCACTTAAAATGCCACGTAAGCTACGTAAGAATATACGTAAGAGGAAGAGAGCATTGAAACATCCAATAGTAAGACTAACACCACAACAACAGTTGCAACAACAAATGCTGAATGACCCCACTATGTTGCAACAAATGTCAAGCAATCCTATGCTTTTAAACCGAGTTACTGGTGCACAGAGTGGAGGTTTAAGAGCGGCACTTTTAGCGAAAATGGCAGGCCATGGTGGAGCTGCAGACGGAACAGCCTATAACCCTCAAAGTCAAATGAATTTGAGTTCACTCAAAAATCAAATAGCAGATGTCAAAAAGTCAAACATAGACATACAGAAGCAAATAGGTGAAAACGAAAAGAAACTAGAATATGACAGACACACAAAGAAACTCAATGAGTTAAACGTAGAGAAAAAGAAGAAAGAAGAACAACTGAAAGAACTAAGTACAGAGGAATATGCGAAAAAAGTGTCAGAAAAAGCAGCAGAAGTAGCAAAAATGGAACAAGATGTTGTAAATTTGAAAAACCATACTACTCGATATAAAGTACTGAAAGATGAAGAGATAAAACAAAAAGCCCTGAAGACATATATGGATAGCGATGAGTATAAAAAAGAAGTTGAAGCAAATGTAAAGGCAGAAAAACTTTTACAGTTGCAGAACCAAACCGTACAGTATGAAAACTTAGCACAAGAAAGTAAAAATAACGACGCAGCCATGCAAAAGGCAATGAAAAGCGCAATATATAAAAGCTAACAATGACTGGTTAGATGCCCAAGCCAACGCCAAAGCAGCCCAGCTTATAGGGTCAATAAGGACAAAAATACAAGCGGATGAAGACAGTTCAAATGAAACTTTAACAAATGCTGACTTTAAGAACGCCTTCGAAGCTCTTCATAGTAAGGTGAAACAAGTGAACGACTTCTCATCTGGAAAGAAACTGAAGTCTGAAGGTTTCGACAAAGAGTTAAAAGAAGTAGCACAAAATATGACGAAAATAACAGATGCAGCAACGAGACAGGCAGTTCAAAGTGCCTATGACGCCGTTAGAGCAACTGTTGTGAAAAGTCAAGAAAAAGAGTTACAACAGACCAAAACAGACCTAGTAAATGCTTTCTTAAAAACGAAAAGTCAGGTAGGACATTACGCTGCAGATGGAACATATGTGCCAGCTGGTGGAACTTATATACCAGCTGGTGGAACTTATATACTAGCTAGTGGAACTTATATACCACCAAACCCTCCAAGAGAAGCACCTGCACCAGGACTACCTAACACATTTACATCGTCACATGGACACAGACACAGGCATGCACCAAAACCAACACAACAACCAGCACAACAACCACCTCCACAACCAGCACAGCAACCAACAGTTCAAAACCCTGCACAACAACCACCTCCACAACCAGCACCACAACCAACAGTTCAAAACCCTGCACAACAACAACAACCACAAACAGAGCAAGGACATAAAAGAAGTAGAGAACAAGGAAACCAAGAATTCTTAAAAAGGCTTAAGGAAGACTATGGTTACCCAGATAGTATTGACTTTAGTGACAGATATAAAGAAGCTATTCGAAAGTTCAATGAAGGAAATACTGACCCGAACCTATTTAGCTTTATGGTTCAGCATAAAATCGGATATAATTTCAAACCTGGAAAATACAAGCTCGCTAAGGGATATGATTTAATAGCATATCATCCAAATGACATGGATGAATTTACTCCGAGATATTTGATGTCAGAGCTAAATGACAATTCAACTCCCGTCATGAAACGCGTAAAAAATAGAGACGGAACGAAAGAAGAAAGGTTTATGAGTCCGGATGACTTAGAAAGGGAAGTTGTTAAAAACGGTCTCGGAATATATGAAATGCCAGCAGATGAGGTACAAGAAACTCCACAGGAAGAAGTTCAGATACAACCAGACATGGAAGAAATAGTTCAGCAACAACAGCTAGAAGAGCCTGAAGGAAACGAACAAGTCACTCCTTTGGAAACTAACTTCACAGAACTAGATGAAGATTTGGAACAGCCGAAAAATCTTGACCCTCAACAAGTGTATGCGGAGAATATGGAATATTTCCAAGAGTCTAAAAAAAATTCGGCTGACATAGTAGAAGAATATCGAAAAATGTTTGCCGACATACAAAAGACTCCAACACCAGATGAAAATATTCAGCATAGAATGGAAGCACTGAAAAAAATGTACACAAATACAACAACCCTTTTTACTTACGAGCATTTAACGTTCAATCTTCGGATGAACTCGGTGAAAATAAAAGGTTAAATTTCAAGAAAACATATAGAAATGAAACATTGTTTAAAGTTCATTCAGAACCTAGCCAAGATGGAAACAAACCTACTTTTGTTTCTGCAGACGATGGAACTACAATGAGATGGGGTCATAAAGCTAACCCGGATAGGTGGTTCATAAACTTACAACCACAATTCCAAGAAGTTGTAGACGCAATGGAATTGAATGGTGAACGAGATATAGCTGGTATTTTAAGCGCGGCTTTAATGCCATTGAAAGATATGAAACATGCAGATATTTTGGACCAGTATGAAATGAACATGGCTGATGGAAATATAACACCTGACGTTCTAGAACATTTATCTCAAAGAACTACACAGAACCATAGAGATGGTATATTTGGTGAAGAGTTTAGAAAGAAAGTTAGGGAGGGAGAAGGAAGAGAACCTATTGTACATGACCTTGCAAACGAAAGTTTACAAAATGTCATAAAAACTTACTTTGCAGACGATGAACTGAGAAGGGATGAATATTTAAGAAAACTCAAATGGACAGTACCAAATGAAATGTTAGTATTGAAAAACATGTTCCTTGACAAAATAAAACCAACTACAGAAATAAATGACGCAAGACTGAAAGATTGGGTAAAAGCTTTCCCATTCACAAAAGATATAGTTGGTAACATGGAAAGAAAACCAGAATGGCTACAAAAACATATATTTGGAAACGAGCATATTCCATATGGACAAGCTCTGTTTGAAGAGCTTGAACCGGAAACTCAGAAAAGAGTCATGCAAACAATACGCGAAGACTCAAATACAAACTATGACAAACTCTTTCTAGGATATAGGTTACCTGAGATGGGCGACCAGAGCCCAAAGGCAAAAAGGACATGGGAAATTTACAACATACTAGGTGAACATGAGGCAAAGATGCAACAACTTGAAGCAGAGGGCAAGTTACCAAAAGCGACACCAAAGAAGAAGAGAAGAGTAGAACAAAGTGAAAGTAGTGAAGAAGTAACTTCATCTAGTGAAAGTAGTGGCAATGAAAGAAAAAGAAGAGTTAAAAACTCAGTCAGGAAGAAAGTAAAGCTTGGTCGGAGTGGGTTCTATTATGACATATAAATCCAACTATTCTATATTTTTACCCATATGAAATGTACGCCGCTCAGAATATAACGCCAACAGTTTTGGATGCCATGAATGGAAATGTTTCCGAATGGTATAACGAATGCGACAATGCCATTAGAAGGTCAGAAATAGTTCCTGGAACTTACGAATATACAACTGCTGTTTCTTATGGAAACGTAGGTGAGTTTGGAGAAGGTTCTTCAACAACAGTAGATATTGCTTGCGACAGGTTTCATATTATTTCTATTGACAACTCATTCTTATACGTGGAACAAGACATTGAAATAAAACCTTCTGCCAAGTTGTCTGACAAGAAAGGTTGCAATGGAATTTTCTATGTCGGATACCAATATGCTCCAGAAGTTTTCATGGGATATAAGATATATTCTAACTCTGACTTAGTTCAAACAGTAACATGGGCAAACTATGAATGGTTCGCTTTGAGAAACTCAGTACAACCACAAGCTAGAGAACAAACAGACCAGTATGCAACTATTGAGAAAATAAGAAGACTTGACCCTAACGTTCCAGGAGTTTATGTTAACCTTTCTGGTTCAGATGGAACTGCTGCCACTAAAGTAAAATTGAAACTTAGAGTTCCTTTGTCATCTTTCCTCATCTTCAGGTTTTTAAGATACTTGCCAAACTGGGCAGGAAAAATTTCTATCGAACTTACTCCAAGCAAAAATAACTTAGTCATTGCACCAACACAAGACCCATTCACTCTTACTGTAGCTGGAACTGGTGGAGCCAAGTTCTGTGACTTTTGCAAAGACAAAGTTGACTTAGACTTTGGTTTCTCAAACTTCAACACTGAAGTAAACTATTATTTCAATGCTGCTGGAACTGCTTGGGACCCAGTTAAGTTCACATGCGAAAAGTTTGAATGCAAGAGAATAGAAAGCAGACTCGCAGTCTATATGTTGGACCCAGATATTTCAAATGCTTTAGCTGCCAAATATATTGCAGTTCCACTTATGTTCCCTATACACCAAATATCTGTCAAAGACTTTGCAGGTGAAGTTGGAAACCAAAGTGCTGAACCAGGTGCAAGAACAGATATTGCCTTAACAACTGCAATGAAACATGCAGATACTATGTTTGTACTGTTCAGACGAACTATAAATGACTATTCTTGTTTCTACAACCCTGGTATTAAATACCATATAAACATAGATGGCAAATACTATCCAAGAGAAGAATATTCTACAGTTGAGGATATGAGGTCATACAACTTGACATTAGATGCTATGAACTTTAACAACAACTTCACAACAACCATTAACCCTGAAATGCAAAGTTCTATTATGCCATATGTGAAAGTATGGACTCATACAGGAGGTCAAACACTCAATATACAAATGGAGACCGTTCAAACTTTTGGCTTGGCATTCCATTTGCTGACTCAGAAGACTTTATGGGTGGTATTTCAACTGTTGGTACAGTTCAAATACAATATACTGGTGACAGAGACGGTCCAGATGAATTGAAAGCAAAGAAGTTTACAAAACCAATAGCACTTTTCACGGAAGATGCTCTTTTGAAGATTCGTTCGATGAAACCTGCTGGGGCTCCTCAGATTGGCATAACGACAGCTTCCATCGAGCAGATTTTGGCAGCAGGTCAGTAAGTTGTTCTTGAACTGACTTCTCTCCGTCAAATATTGACAGTACGCCAGTTTTGATATATATTGTATTATAAAACTTACCTTTAGAAAATCGGTCAGTTTTGTTGTTATATTTTTGTCTGCTTCAAGAACTTTCACCATCGTTATACCAACTTTCTTTGCTTTATGAAAATATTTTGGTTCAGCAAAGACTGCTATTCTATAACATTTTCCATTGTTTGTGTAAAGAACTATTCTGTCAATGAACTTGTATTGTTTGTGTGTGTAAACTTTGTTTTGCTTCAATTCGAAGAGATACTCAATACGTCCATCTTTTTATTCTAAGTAAAATGTCATTTCCGAAAAATAGAAGCGTAAGTGTTTCAAAAGGTTTAATGGCGATGGCAGATGTGAAGTTAAATTCACCAACTCAAACAAACAGTCAAAGTGTTGTTGTCAATGTCAAAGACAGAGATGTTGAAGTGGGGAAACCATACGAAGACGAAGATGGTATAACAATAGTTCCTGTAAAAGAACAACCAACATATCCTGAAGTTAGCAGAGACTTAAGTTCTGTTGCAGATATTCGAAACGACTACCAACAACTTAAAGACAAACTTAAAACTCAGGAGAAGATTTGTCAAGCTTTAGGTTATAATGTTAAACTTGGTCGAACACAACCCTGTAAAAGTGAACTCATATGTCATTGCACCTCATGAAATTTTGAAAGAACTATTGAAACTTTTGACAGAGGCAGACGATATAAACATCAAAGAAATAGAACCCGACATTGCTTGCTGTGGTGTTTCATATAATGTCATTGACAAGATATACGTTATGAAAGGAGGTGAAACGTTGAACTTAAAATATAGTTTCCCAGACGTCATAAAAATATTTGACGACCACAACATTTCATTAAAGTTTGTTTGCTAAGTAAAAATGTCAAAACTTCTTGAAAGATGTTTGAAGAAAAACAATATAGACTTTATTTCATGTAAAGGACTTTACACACTTTTGAACGATATGAAAGACCCTGTTTTGTTTGTTCGTGTAGACAAAGGAAAGTTCTATGTCTTTACAAAATATTTGAACTTCTTAGACAGAGAACTTCAAGAAACGCCATGTGAAAGTTTAGATGAAGTTCTTCTCCACTTTCAGAAAAACTTTTAAATATATGTAAATGGCAGAAGACATAGTGGTTTATACTATTACGACTAAAAACCCTGAGTCATATAATTCTATAACAACAAACTTACAAAGTCCTCAAGGACGATATTGTAAACTGACCTTAAACACGATGACGACTAAAGCCTGTTTTGCTCTTTTGACACCAGAAGATTTTATTGTTGTGAATGGTAAAAAATACTCCTTTGAAGATACTTACTCAGATATACCACCAACAGGTTTTGTTGACTTATTTAATACTTTAAGGACGGATGTAACATGTGCTGCAACTAGAGCAGGTTTCATTATGTTTGGATGTCCGACTGAGTTTAGTATAAACGATATGAGCTATAATACAAAACTTATATCTGGTTTTTACTACCAACAGTTTCCTATAACAGGAAAAGGTGTCATACAAGGTCTGTTCCATTGACTTTAAGCACACCTATTTTATATATTGTTTCAAACTTAGGTTCAAAGTGCTATTCGAATGTCGACAGAAACTACTATGACCAAAAGATACTCATGCGTATAAACAACACTTTCTCTGCTGGTTTGCCTATTGTTCATTCGAATGCAGAGTTTTCAGCTTTAGTAAACTCAAACACTTTAGCAAACATAAACTTAACCTTAGTTGACGCAAACTTTGTTCCTGTAAAACTTTTATGTCCTATGTATTTGTCAATGACGGCAGAAAGTTTCGAATTGGAAGATGCAACTGGTGAAAGTATTGTACTACAAGAACAACTTCAACAACAAATAGCTCAAGAACAACAAATGCAACAAATGGAACAAATGCAACAACAAAGTCAAGAATAAAAAAATATTTTTTTTTATTTTTATAAAAAAATGTACAGAATAGACGTTTCAGATTTTTATGACTTCCAAGCGTTCAGAAATATGTGTCCATTTCGAGACTATAACAAAGCAGTCGAGAATTTGAAACGTTTAGTCATTTATGTCGACTCTGCCCCAGAATGTTATGTCATGAAAGAATGGGATGTAGTCTTTAACAAACCTAAAGCGACAATAGTTTCAGAACAAGAATGTAAACAGAAACTTAAGAAAATAAAAGTCGTACAAGTTGGCATGAAGATGTTAGATGCTTGGGATATCTTATTGTCAAAGTTAGAAGATTTTTCAGTTCGTGGTATAAAGTTCTATACACCTTCTCCAAACTTCTATTCTATCTTCACTGGATATAAATACGAACAAGTAGAATGGAAAGAAAATGTTATAGAAGCTTGGTTAGACCATGTCAAAGAAATTATATGCAATGGAAACGAAAGAGTCTATGAGTATATCTTATGTTGGTTTGCAAACATCTTACAACATCCAAGTGCTAAAAATGAAACTGCTCTCATTGTAATTGGAAAACAAGGAACAGGTAAGAACACTTTCTTTACAGATATCTTATGCAAACTGTTAGAGGGCTATTCGAACCCGAATATGACAAACTTAGAAAACATCTGCGGTAAATTTAACTCTTCAATAGAGAATATGAAACTTATAGTATGTAACGAACTTCAAAGTATAGATACAACAAAAGTTTTGAACTCAGATGCTTTGAAGAGTCTTATAACAGACAAAGTTGGAGTTGTTGAAAGAAAGTATAGAGACCAAAGAGTTTGTGAAAATGTTGCAAATTTCATCATGGTTTCAAACAACGCCGTTCCGATGAAGTTAGAAAGTTCTGACAGAAGATATGTAGTTGTCAGAACGTCAGATGCTCATATGCAAGATACAGAATATTTTGACGACTTAGCAGAAACTTTGACACTAACTTTTACAACCACTTGTTCTCATATTTCATGACATTAGATATTTCAAGTTCAATCCAAGACAAATTCCACATACCGAAGAGAGACAAACATTGTTAGAAGCAAACAAGAGTGTATATGAACTGTTCATAGATGAAACTGACTTTGAGTGTTTAGATGAAAGGTCATTGTACGATTCGTATAAACAGTATTGTCAAGAATATGGTTATATGACAGCGTCTAAACGAACATTCTTGGCAAATGTCAAAAGTCTTTTAGACGTACAGAATGGTGTATATACAAAGAAAAATTTTTCTGAGTAAATTTTAAAAAAAAATTTTTTTTCCGATAGAAAAGATGACGAAATTCATCTCAGTAACAAGTACATGTCAGGACTTAAAGAAGAACTAGACCCATTCACATATTTGAATGTTTACTTCTACCATTTTGAAAAGTCTACATTTGACAAAGTTTGGAACATCGAACCAGTTAAGTTTGCTATTGTGACTAAAAATGGTGCGAAATTTGAAGACTTAGACATAGAAGGTTTGTTAACAGTCAAAGAAAGTTTTGACAGAAGGTTCTCAAACCTTAAAGAAGGCAAAGCATACAAACTTGTTATACCTTATGAACCAAAGAAAGCAGACGACTATGAATATTATGAGTCTAAGATAGTTGAAGTTCAAGGTAAATTGGGTAAAAAGATTTTAGAGTCTAAGCCGGTGTTTGCTCCTAAAGAGGAAGAGAACATTGACATTGACCCAGAAATGTTCTAAAAATAAAATTTTATTTTTACATGTCAAATTTCTTTTTCTCTGGCTCTGGTTCTTTCTTCTCTTCTTCTACTTTCTTTTCTTTCTTTTCTCTCTTCTTCTTCTCTGGTGGAGTTATGTCAAACTTCTCAGAACCATATTTTTGTAAAAGTGCTTTGTCATTTAATAGCTCTTCTATTCTGTTTTCTATTTCATTTTCAAGAACAGCGCATGTGTCTTCTTTGCATTCTAAGAAGTTTTGTTGGACTTCATCTCTCCAAGAGGCGTCATCTCTGTCAACAAGTCTGTCATTGACAAATTTTAAGACTTCTCTGCTTAAGGTTTTATGGTTCTTGTCATATTCCCAGAAACAGAACTTTAGAACAAATTCACCTTTCTTGTTTACACTATGTAAGATTTTATGGTCGACAGATGTTTTGCTGTCGAAAAGCTTGTCTCGAATATAGATAGCGAAATCGCTAGACATTTCCTAAAAGATAAAAATTTTAATTTTTCTAAAAATATGTTAGAAAAAAAGTTTGCTGACATTGACAAAAATTTGAGAATGTTTTAAACAAGAACAAGAGGAAGTTGGAAAATGCTCAGATAAAACCCATACATGACAAGTTCTATTTGCTCAGAATGGTATAACAGGTCTAATCGCACCACCTGGGTCGGGTAAGACTTTCACTTATCTTAAAATGGCTGCACAACAACAAGAACTAGATGAGAAGAACCCATTCTATGAGTTAGTAGTCATTTGTAGTACTTCTGGTCAATTTGACCAAACCGTCAATTCGTTCAAAGATATTATAAAAAAGTCTAAGTTAGTATGTATAAAAGACTCTGAGTTGTTAGATTGGATAAAGAAGTACCAAAGAAGAGTTTTGAAGTACAATGCTATAAATGAGTATGTCAATTCGAAGTTTAAAGACCCAAATGAGGAAATGCAGAGAATATTAGAGAAGAAACACTTCAGAAACAAACAGAAAGAGATTGAATACATTTCGAAGAAATTGCAATCTTACGATTGGAAGACTTACCCTCACAGATGTCTTCTTATCTTAGATGACTTTGCTTCTCATCCTTTGTTAAAGAACAGAGAACAAGACATGTGTCGAATTCTTAAGAAGCTCAGACACTTTAACATCTCAGTTGTCATTTGTGTACAGACAGCAAGAGTTTAAGTAAGGATGTAAAGAGAATACTTACTGATATCATACTTTTCCCCGGATTGTCCGAAGACGATTTCATGGAACTTATGAAAGAGTCCATGGCAGGTAAGTTTGACAGACATGAACTATGGGAGAAGTACAAAGTCATACAAGACCCTCATACTTCTTTCAGAATTCACATCTACGCAAACAAAGTTCAAATTGTAAAAAGTCAAGCGTAAAAATGTAAGTGTTTGAGTCTTAGTCTGTTGTGGTGCTGGGGCTGTCGGTTCTTCTGGCTTTGGAATGGACTCGGTTGGTGGTACGTCGGACATTCGTTTGTGTCCTGTCGGATGGAAGGACTTTTCCTGTCGGAAGGAAGGACTTTTCCTGTCGGAAAGAAAAATTTTTCCTGTCGGAAAGAAAAACTTTTCCTGTCGGAAAGAAAAATTTTTCCTGTCGGAAGGAAAAACTTTTTCTGAAGGTCGGCCAAAAAGTTCTCAATTTTCGAAAATTTGAATGGTTTACGACGGACAACTGGAAAAATTTTTCCTGTCGGAAAGAAAAATTTTTCCTGTCGGAAGGAAAATTTTTTCCTGTTGGAAGGAAAATTTTTTCCTGTTGGAAGGAAAAACTTTTCCTGTCGGAAGGAAGGACTCGGAATGCCAGAAGGAAGGACTCGGAATGTCGGATGGAAGGACTCGGAATGCCAGAAGGACTCGGACAAGACAATTTACCATCTAGAGCTACCTGAGCCATCTTTGGTGTCAAGCTTGAAAAATAAATGGTTCATTTACTCTTCCTCTTTGAAGTTGTCAAAATACTCTGTTATTTTTTCCTTCAGTAGCGGCAAATCTTCTTTGAATGTAAGAATTGTACAACCTTTCATATCATAGTGTGTTTGAGGTAACGTATCTTGAACTATCTGTTTAACATCTTCATTCGGTGTCATTGAAATCGGTAAGTTTTCGCGATAGAACCAATTTCTGTCAGATTTGTAAATCTTAGCAAGGTCGTAAAAGCTTTTGTTGTTTCTTCTGACTAAATGCAACATAACCATATCTCTGTCTTCTTCATTTTCCATCTCTTCAGTGTAAATCATATACTTATAGTTCTTTTCCTTTCCTTTTGGTACCGAACGTGGTATTCTTTTCTGTATGTTTTTGTCTTTGGATTCAAGCTTGTTCTCTAGCTCTTCACGTTCTTGTCTATGAAGTTCGTCAAGAAGTCTGTAAATATACCAAGCATAACGAGGCGAAGCCCACATTGCAACAGCATTTACAAGAAGTCTATGTACATACCAACCTCTCAAACCATTTGGCAATTTTTCACGATTTTCATAGAGTTTTGGCGACTGGGGTTTTTCTCCCACTCGCTGTTCTTCACTGTTTTCAGAAAAAAGTATGTCTCGCTGTGCTTCATTTAATAGTTCAATAGTGCTTTGGTTCCTAAACCAGTCTTTAGGAAGCTTAGTATCTGGAGCAAAACATGCTGTCAAAATACTTTGCATTTGGTACATGTCATCTTTGACCGAACGAATGAGACGTAACTGTTTGTTATACTGAACCCACTCGTATTCTTCACTTATGGCTTCATGAACGATAGCAGTTGTTGTGTTCTCTGTTGTTGTCATATCTGTCTTTACATACAAAATAAAAAATAAAATAAAAATAAAATTAGCGTTATTTTCTATCTTGTATAAAAGACCAAAAATAAACGCTTTACATGTATTTTTCAGCAACTTCGTCAAATACTTTTATAGCTTTAGCTATCTCATCTACTTCGAAAGTTTCTTTACCTTTCGTGGGAGCACCATACATTTTCTCAAACTTTTCAAGTAGTTCTGTTTCAGCAGCTCTCATATCGTTAACAAACGCAACCTTGACTCTATTGACTATACTGTCATATCTTTGAGTTATATTAAATGTTCTTCCTATCTTATATCTCTTTGTATTGAAGTCCTTCGGTTTCTGAACGATGTAAAGTAAGCCCTCACTGCAACGTTCCGTATCGAATGAACCATATGTTATGAAATTATATCCAACAACTGGGTCAATCCAGAACAAAACTACTGGTATAAGACTTTTGTCTATAAGATATGCTCTTGTTCCATAGAATCTTACCGATATCATAAGCTCAGGATTTCTTGTCAAAATTTTCTGAGTAGAAGCATTTCTAACCCAGTCGTGGGATGTTTTCTTTTCAGATAGTGTTAGAATGTCTGACAAAGAATATTTTTTGTATTTCTTTGAGTATCTTACGTTTAAATCACCTATTCTAACCACTTTGGTCTCATTGTCTATCTTTTTAACTGTTTCAAACTCAGTGTTTGTCATTTCCTGTTCTTACATACAAAATAAAAAAATAAAAAAAAATAAAACTAACGCTATTTTTTATCTTAAGGAAATTCATGATTTCAGGGATTTTTTTGACGAAGTGTCAAAGTTCACTTGGTAAAAAAAATACAGTTATATCATGAAATTTGGTCATTTTTTCACGATTTTCATGAGTTTTAGGCGACTACGGTTTTTTCCGTACTCGCAATTTTTTACGATTTTCATGAGTTTTAGGCGACTACGGTTTTTTCCGTACTCGCAATTTTTCACGATTTTCATGAGTTTTAGGCGACTACGGTTTTTCTCCCACTCGCAATTTTTCACGATTTTCATAGAGTTTTTTTACGATTTTCGTACGGAATCTCGACCCGTGGTTTTCCGCCGGTCGCAAACATATGAGGAAATTCATGAAATTTGGTCAT